TGTAAGAATGTTCTCTTAGATACGCTATAAAATCGCTCGGACGTCGTGAAATCGTAACAAGATGCACTCTGAAACACTGTACACAACAATTCAATATACCGAGCTTCCATCCTGGAATCATGCTTAATCATTAACAGATGACGTAAGTATGTGAATGAAATTAATCGTTTTTGTGCAACTTGGAGACACGAAGTCAACTGAACTTAACGCACGGCTCGACGTATATGAAGTCAAAACGTTAATAGCTTGTAAATACAGGCTAAACAGGATCGTTTGCAACCGTTCTCGTTATAAACTGGAGTGATTGCATAATTTGCTTGCAAAATACATCGGATAAGCTTCTATGCCCAGCTAATCCTAGCTATCCAAATGCTAGAAAACTGTAAAATACAACTGCCGGATTGTAGAAATGCTTATTGAAGTGAACATTACATTTGCTTGATGAAAACGATGGTATTGAGAATATGTTTATCGAACATAAAGCAAGTTGGCATAGATCAAGTAAACTGAAATTTAAAAGTACCTTGTTTCAGAGAGCGTAATGACAAAGTTGATTTTCAATAGATGAAATGAACACTATAAAAAGTAAACTCGGCAATGTAAACAACATATGTATAGTGACAATTTTTCTCGTTTCTCTTGTAATGAAAGAGAACCGATAACATCTCTTCATAAAAATCAACTTTCAACATCCGTAACTATGCTTACAAGTGTGCAGTACAACTTCAGGTTTCTAGATTGGTAGCAAAGCCGAGCACAGGTGATTTGATAGCCCCAAAATGCAAAGTACAACCAAAATGTTTAGTGTTGCTTTGCAATAGAACCGGAGCAAAGGAAAGTGGAAATCTCTTGCGGAGGTGGTTAGATACGTCAGTGAAGCTTGAGCAAGTGACTATATTGCCCAAGCTTGCAGACCTATTCAAACATTACTTAGCTCTATTGCAATAGATAGGGACAGAAGTAAATGGTCGTGTTAGGCTTAGCCCTGAAGCTAGGTTGTGAGGAAGACGTGTACATTGAAGCTTATGAAAACTGCAAAAACCATCCTGAGGGGTATTTTCGACATAGACATCATTCACTGGGTCTTTTGAAGAAAAAATGCCAAGAGAGATTAGTGCTATGATAACTTTTAACGTTATTTTGCATGATCCCAATATTAAGTCAGAGTCCACATCGGTTTACTCCCAAGCAGCTTTGATAGTCTCCCATTTGATAGACTACAACAGCCATGTGCATCATCACGAAGGATCTACGGGTCATCATGAAAACAGAAGCTGTGCGCCTTTCCAGTTTAGGTCAGACTTCATCATCATGCAAAACACTTAATAGACAGTTTGTGGATCAAATGTTTAGCCTTTGATTATCCATATCGTAAGATTGAGTACTGGACATTTTCATATATCTGACAAACAGTGTGAGTAACTGCTTCAGTTTAGATGGTGTTGTCTGCCCTCTAAATATTTGCCATGGTAGTTTTACAACTGCTGTGGTTGGTAACATAGACAACAATCCCAGCTCCTCAACTGCCCACTATTAATTTCACGATACTGGGACCTCACTCTTTCAACAATCAAACAAGGAGTTTAGTGGGGTTAGAATGTCAGATATTATTTAACAGAAAGATATTACTTAACATTACAGTAATGTTCCAGCTGCTGTTTTCAGAAAGAAAAAACAACAAAAAAAACACACACCCAGTTATACCTGAAGTTCAAGAACCTCTTATTAGAACTGACTTCAAGATAGTAAAGACGGCATTACTGGAAGAGAAGAAATGTCTCGAACATGTCAAAGTGATAAGCTAGCCATGTACAGAAAATACTGTAATTTGTCCTGGGTAGTGTATCAAGCGTGCTACTAACATATGACTGAAATACCTACATAATTTCTCAACTGTTTTCTGATTGTCCCAAGTATTGTGGGGGCCAGGATATGAAAACTGTGATGTTCAAAAATCAAGTAGACATTGATACATCAATATGTAAACATATATTCATTTGAGAATTACTACAAGTATAATAAAGAAATTAAATTTTATAGACAAGTAGGGATCGATATATACGTAACCTAGCTAGCTATTGCAATATAGAAAGTTTTAATGCTACAAAAATTATTGAAACAAGAAAACTACAAAAAACTGAGTTACTTAAAATGTAAAAAAAAAAAATTATCCCTACTTTGGCAAACCACTGTAATTATGTTAGTCTGAGTCTACTTGTGTTTATATAATTAAAAAGGATATTATACTTGTTTGTTTCCTTTTCGTTAGCTATATTTTTGTGTATCAGCAGTACCAAGCGTGGGGCGCGCGTATACCCGATTCGATTTTATTACTCATCAAGGTCTTCACCAACCTATCCTCAAATCTAATTATATACCAGTATCCTTTTCCTTACAAGAAAATATTCATTGGGACAGAAAGAGTGCTGTGAAAGAATTATAGCGATAAGATTCGTCGTTTTTTCTGTCCGCTAGTCTGAAAATGTCACTAAATTATTTACTTAGATGAAAATTCGTTGAAATAGTGAAATATTGATTCACTCCATAAACACGTATATAACGATTTAAACGGCTTTATAAGTACAATAAGCTTATGTTTTGCTCAGCCAGTACTGTGAACTAGTCATTGTTAATATTCAGATATTCTAAAGGTATTTTTAAACGAGCAATTTTTATGGCCGCCATTTTGTTTCATAACGATTCCTACTGTTAAGTACTGCCGTACTTAATGATATAGTTTATATCTGTGTTTTTATTAACTTTACCCTTTCGTTTTATTTTAATGTTTATTTAACCCGTATTGCTTCCCATGTACTTTTAACTTTACACAAACCGTTTAATATTTAATTAAGTAATTTACTGTTATTATTAGACTGAGCGTGGCACAATGGTTAGCGTACCAGTCTAAATGTCTGAAGTTACTTCGTTCGTGCTCCAATTCCGCCAAAAGAAAATAACGCGCAAAGCGCTATGGAGTTAAGGTTCTGTTATAAGGGTGTTAGTCAAATCCCACTCTTCAGTAAGACAAGGGTAGATTTTTCCCCTGGTATATTATTTCAAATTTAGGGACGGCTAGCGTGAAATTCAACAAATCAAATAAACTTAGTTTTATAGGTAGACACAACTGCTCTTAAAGTTTAAGCGAATGTCTCCTTCAACCACTGAACATCTAAACGAACACATATAGTAACCGTCTAGTAATAAACAAGATCAGTAATTAAACATGTTAACTTGACAAAATGTATATAGGCTTAATCTTTGATAGGTTGTTAGGGCCTGAAGACGAAAGGCGAATACTTTCGAAACGTCGTCCTATACATTTGTAGGTTTCTACAACAGGCAGTTGCTGTCCATTTGAAACTTAGATTCATTCACGTATATAGGCTTCTTTAAAATCACAATGCTGACGACTAATCAGACTTTTAGGTGTACAAGAAATGTTCAGACATTAAGATAAAATTAACTTTTACAATATCACTATGCATATTATATAACACTTAGCATAAAAATACCATCTGTGGGGTTCAAAGGCTTTCTCGTGATTCACAGAGAACCAATGTACTTATCAAGCTCCTTTATTATCTCCAATTGTTTAGTCTATAGCCACTCAATGAAGTCCCATAACCTTAAAGAAACGAAAAGAAAAAAACACAACAGGATACCCGCCCAATGTACTTGAGCACGTTTACCAAGTTTGGACCCATTACCTTATAAATGAGAGTATGAACACAGTTTCCACAATGGCGCCCAGTAGATCTTGATGGTTCAAGAAACACAAAATCCGATTCGAGTTCATAGAACCTGCCAACCCATTCTCAGCCTCCAACATGTCTGGGTTGCTTTCTGGGAGTTATTTAGGGGGCTTCGCCGTATAAATGAAGACATCATCAGAACTACTCAAAGTCCACCTGCCAAGTTTGGTCCTGTTAGCTCCAAAACTGTGGGAGGAGTTCGTGGAAAAGCACACAACGTGAATTAAAGTACTCTGGCGTTATATTAACGTTATCTTACCCTGTTCTTTTATGTTAAGTCTATTATTAACCCCTTTTGCTTCCCAAATACTTTTGACAAAACCCATTTAGTGCTTTAACTGAAGCTTTGTCTTTATGTTGTTTTATTCATAGACGTAGCTTCTGTTAAAATAAAAACTGGTGACCCATTCTCCATACTTACCATATTTTACACCTGAAAAAACACATTGTAATCGTCAGTCATCATAAAAGATCAACTGAAGAAAGGAGCTGAAACAACGAATAACCTGAAAATAAGGATAACTGAATTGCTGTTTTTTATATATATACTGATGCACATGACATATAAGACCAATTAAAGGGGGGAGGCAGGAGGCTCATTTGGCCTGGGCCTAAAGCTCAAAAGAGGCCTCAAATTTAGACTTTTTTTTCTTTTACAGGAAAAGGCTAGAAAAGCATTTATTAAATGTCAAATAATGTTAATAAATATATGTTAAATACAAAATATTTAAATTATGTTTCACTTTTGGGTTAATGATTGCTTTTTTTTTCACGTGTTATCGTTTTTTATTTTTATTATAGCCAGGGTCTCTCTGAACCTCTGAGAGGGCCTAATGACATGAATATATAATTAATTGAGAAAGTTAAAGTATACACCCACACACTTACATATATATTTTTTTCTTAAATCCATAGTATTTTAATGGAGCGAATTGAAACAGAAGTAATCCTTCCTATAATTTTATTTGGAATATATCGTTTCTCTGTTGTACCAGTTCGTATGTAGAATATCATTTCAGGATTCAGATAAGTAAATATGAAGCACTGCCTGGTGTTAACCTAATAAATATTGTTTTTTTGGGTATCACTTACTGTATTCATGCTCAAATACATTTTGTCGCCGAATTTATATACATGATTATTCGTTCCGATAAAAGTACCCAAAAGTTGGCGGAATAAGGTACTCAAATTCCCTGATGTTTACGCTTGTGTTCGCTATTATTAAACTATGTTTCTTGTATGTTTCAGCTTTGAAATGCCACTGTGACAGCTGCGGTAAAGATACGAACAACACGTGTGAAACGGATGGCGTCTGTTTTACATCAGTCGCTCTTTCGGAAAGAGGCACCGAGTTTGGATACAGGTGAACACAAAAGTTTTTTGTTCTGTTATTCTCTAGCTACGTATCTGTTAGAACTTGTCACTGGGGTAAACAGTAACGTGTGCTAGATATAGTGACACAATAACTTGTTTTATTGCAGTATTGCAATGTGTGTCTTGTACCTTGTTGTAAGAATGTACATAAGGATATTAATATGCAGTGTTTGTCTTTGAATTTAACACACGGCCTTTTTTATTATGGGTTAGAAATAGATCCAAGTCAGCTTACAGGTGAACTTAACAAAAATGGGACTTCTGTTTACTATGTTGAAGTTTTGTGTTATATCGAATTTTGTGTTAGGATTGATCACAATACATTTTGTTTATTGAGAAAGGTTTAATATATGAAATATTTCTTACTCATCTTTATAGAACTTTTTTTTTATTTTGAGCTGGTAATAGATCAAGAAATGTATAAATTTATTTTTTAATTTCTTTATTAATTGTTATTCAACTGTAGCTGCATACGAGAACACGGAACAGTTTTGTGGTTATAATGTATTTTCTGTACAATAACAAAGGGTTCAAATATAGATTTTTACATGCTGCTATTATATAAAAACGTGTTTTTGGAACAATTTATAGCTGATAAAAACAATTACGTTTTTATTTAAAAAACATATTGAACCTTGTCATAGTGTGATTGTTAAAAAAACAAAATACACAAACACTGTCACCCCCGTTGACCTGATTACTTAGTTGTTTTCTCGACAATATTTTGAACCATTTATAGTCCAAGTCGAAGAGGGGATTTGAGAAAAGGATCGTGATGGAAGTACAAAAGCATATCCTAGTTTATAAAACTTCTGATATTTGGCTTTAGTGGAGTACACATTGGAGTTGAATATATATAGTTATATATAGTGGATGAGCTTAAATCTAATAGTTCTGTAATATATATAGTTAATGCGACGTATCTTTCCATTTTTCTCTGGTAGTAAGGGTAATTTAGCAGCGAGCTGTTTTAGAAGTTTCCAACAATTATTAGTCATGTCCCTGCGAAATCAAAACTATATCGGATGGTTATTCGTTCATATAAGAGTACCCAAGACTTGGCGGAATAAGGTACTTACATTCCCAGATGTTTACGTTTGAATTGGTGGTAGTAAATATTTTAACTCATTTTTATTAAGCTGCCCGTATTCACATTGTAACAAGCGGAAGAAATGAAAACAAATTTATAATTTAATTCTTCGTAGTTAACAACAACTTTTTATGATAACTAGTCAGGTGTACACTCATTATTAATAGTACGTATAATAAAATATTATATTATTTCTTTCTCTTTATACATGAATTAGAAAAAAATAATTTAACCCTCAAATTATCGACTTCTTTACGTTTGAATTGGTGGTAGAACATATTTTAACTCATTTTTATTAAGCTGCCCGTATTCACATTGTAACAAGCGGCGGGATCTACTTATTGCATCATATTGAGTACTTTTATAATGTTGTGTTTTTCCCTCTGACAAAAAATTGGCTGAAACTGTTTATTTTCTTTGCATGGTACAAGATAAATAACAAGTGTTTGGTTCTGTGATCTGTGGATAATCCCAAAGAACGCCAGAACACCGAAATACAAACGTAGACTGCAAATATAACTTTATAATCGGATATATAAATACAGCTTTAACACACAAAAATGACAATTCGCATCAGTATCATTAAGAGACGTAGGGGGGATGGAACCAAATCTAAAATAAATCTAAAGTTAGATTAATGAACTACATTACAATGGGAGCAAAGCAACGACATTTTAAAGGGCCTGCTAGCGTTAGCCCTGCTTACTGTTGTGAATCTTTCATTTTGTCATAACGAACAAAACGGAGAATAGAAAGGAAAAGCATTATATGTTAAATCTAATTGAGAACTGTGTATTTGGAAACAACACATGGATACAAAATGTTCTTAATGTTCACCTTGCTGAAATCTGTATCTAAGTTATAATGGACGCTTAAAAATATATATCCATATATAAAGACTAAGAAAACTGACATTTATTCATGCTACCTAAAGGAGTTCGTTATTATTAAACGCTATATAACCTTCGAAAATTACGTTGAAAAGAATATACTCTCGAAATGAATGGACTAAGGGCACAACGTTTTTTAAAGTTAATGCTATATGAAGAGCATTATATATATATATATATATATATATAAGAGAAGCACTACTTTTCCTACATTAGATAAACCAAATTAGGACGAAACTTAGTAAGTTTCTTTTAGTCTAATTTTTAGTATGCAATAGAAAAAGAAAAAA